GGGTTTGAATGCCATTTGAGGGATTTAAGGAGAAAAACTGTCGCCCGTGGAGATGGGGGGGAGAGTATATTCGAATCGGATGGCCTGTGCTAAGAGTGTTTGAAGCATGTATTATGCACACCTGCGAACGCATTTCTCTTCGGGGCAGGCTACAATACAAGTAAGACAGTTGGAGGTGATCCATACTACTCTTATATTCATGAGCAAAGAGTGCATAAAAAGGTCCCCCTATTGGTGGAGACCAAAAAACCGAGGGTTTAAGTACGCGCCTGACGACGGTTCGACCGTCGCTCTCGACGATGTCCACCACGAGCTTCAGCGAACTAAGGTGATGACTATAGCTGGATTATAGTAAAAGTGGACACGTGGTCTACCTCACTCTCTCACCATTCCCACACCTATACTCGATGTCAAGACTAAATTCGAGAGAAGACCAGAGATGGGGGATGGTGCGACTAACATTCTAATATGCGTACCCACAGCACACATTGCTAGGTAGGCTCCCGCGTGCGCAAGAGTTCCATAGAGGCCACATTAAAAAAGGAGCCATTGCAGCCTGACTCTCAGTCCACCAGCCACTCCATACAACAAGAAACATTGGGCTGACTGCGGCTTCCAAGTTATCCCATCAGTTGGCAACGCTCCGAGCCACGGCTTTTAGCACACCATGATAGCTTCAAGCGCATCAGATTGATTTTAGTGAAGAAAGAAATGCGCTGAGGATCGACCTCACTCTCCTCCACCGTATAGTCGAGAGGTCGTCCGAGGAGGGGTCAACACTTTCGGGAGTACTTGTGTACGTTCAGCCCATGGATCGGACATCACCGAACGCCTTTCGGTAGGGATTCCTTGTGGGGCCGCCTGAGGAGCGTGTGAAGAGCGCTCCTTAGGCTCACGGGCACCTGATTTTAGGAGATAGAACGGGCGGGGTATGCCAGGGAATTAATTAGATCGCAATATTCCTGCAAAATAAAGTTACGATGACAAGTTGGGTCGCGCACTCAAACCTCGGGCGAGGACTCTGAGATAGGCTTTACTAACATCGCTAACCCCCCGCCCGACCAACGGCGAGCTCATGTATGTCGGGGGAGTGTGCGCTAACCTCGGGCGAGTACATTAAGGTGCACTTTTTAGTATAAACACTAATCCCAACTAGAGTAGAAGGTGATTATTCCCGAAGTTAATTTGAAACCCATTTTGCTTAACACACTGGCTTAAGTGGCTATGGTATGCGGTGACCTTCGGAGGATACCTCTGCAGTTCAATGCCATCATCCAATCCCTACCGGGTCGACGGCCGGCGTCTAGAAAACTGGAAAACTGTGGGTAATTCAACCTACTTAGAATTTGTGAGTAGGTTTTTATGATACATAAGGCCCTCTCGAAGACCCCACATGGAAACCCTAATCGCCTTTCCTTTCGGAGCAGCCTACAATACAAATAAAACAGTTGGAGGCAACCCACGCTGCTCTTATATTCATGAAAAGTTAGCAAACAGTGGAGAGTGGAGGAGAGACTGCGTGAATAGGTCCCCTCCCTGTTGGTGGAGACCAAAAAAACGAGAGTTTAAGTACGCGCCTGACAAACAGGCAGCATAGGAAGAGCAAAAGAATCGGAAAGAATAAGAGAGAGAGAGAGAGAGAGAACAGGCGGACAGGGTAGCCGGAAATAGAGAGAGGAAGGGGTGGATAGGGCGGGATCACAGCAGAGGAACTATGCGATTTCGTAGCGCTCGGGATGGAAGTTCGCCTCTGTGGAGAATTTTATGGGGTTGTTGTTTGCATCCACGGCCTTGACGACCTGAAAGAGTAAGAAGAGAGCCACATGAAGAATTTTAAAGCAACCAAAAATCCCATAGGACGCTCGACAGTCCAACCGAGGATTAGCAGTGTCATGATGTTCCGATTAGCACATTGCCACTGACCAAGATAGCGTTCAGTTAGTGAGACGTTCACAGGATGGTCACTATATACGATAACCACAGCCTTTGGTAAAGCGCAGTTTTAGTACATCCTTCTCGTTTAAGGACTAGACTACAGATCTAAAAACTGAGACACTGGGAGAAACTTGGGAATTTTTCTTTGGGTAAAGGAAGAAACGTAACACAACATGAACCACATGATGGGATATTACGCACTTGTTTTGGTGCCAGGCTTCATAAATACGCAATAAAAAGTATTATGTATTTCTTCTTGTGTAGCACTAATTTTCGCGTTTTCTCCTTTTTTTGAGAAAATCGTTATTTCATAGTAACAAAATAGAACTTTTAATACTTTGCATTTTAGTTAAGTGAAGATCATCGTTCATTATTGGTCTGGTGTTGTGGTAGATGCTTCCGCACTAGTTTCCCATTGGTTGTTTTCTCCGCCTATGTGAATACATTTAAGAGGAACCTGTACGTGCACCAAATACTTAATTCACCAGTCACAAGCTGGCCCACGACGAAGACTGTTACATATACGTGTTATACTACTCGTACTAAGCGAGTAGTCATGTTTTTCCGAATACTCAGCAGTCTTTTTGCTATTCCCTATTCCCAGTGTGGTCTGGCCAATCACCGCCCTGAGAGACTGACTCACACAAAGGCCGCTCTGAGCGCTTGTGACAATTTCCGCGCGGACGAACACACCGGATTCCGCTCCGCCAGGGGGGGGGCGCAGGCCTGTCCGAGTGTCAACTGCCTCCCGCCTAATCTCCGCTCCTTCTGTACAGAACAAAATACTCCTAACACTATGGCCTGCCACTTCTTCTGGGACTCACAGCAGACGCGTCTTCGTCGCTTTTCCACCCGCCCTCACGGCGGCCAAGGTCTGTTACATCAATCTCCCTACGGTGGACCTATCTCCCCTCCTCTCCAGCTGTGTTTTTGATGACGGAGGAGCCCCTGCCGACCATG